AACCAGATCTGTGAGAACTTTCTCATGAGAACAGCACAGAGTGGGGAAATCCGCCCCCATGATCCAATCACCTCCCACTAGGCCCCACCTCCAGTACTGGGTATTACAACTTGACATGAGATTTGGGCAGGGACACAGACCCAAGCCGTCAGGAGGCAACGCCCTCTTGAAACACCTGGCCTCCTTGGTCACTGAACAGGAGATGACAAAGCTGGAGGGCCACTCACTGGCGTTTAAATCTTCTACCCAGAGCCCGTGAGCCAAGAATAGTGGTCACATGGTCCTGCCTAACTCCCAGGGGACTGGGAGATGTGAGGGTACACATGCATCCTGGGAAGTGGCAAACATCTCTGCCGCAGAGCGTAACTGCAAAAGCACATAAAGCCACGTGATTAAATTCCACCTAGGATGCTGTGCTGTAAGACTGCTCTGAGCCAGAACATTAAAAAAGAAATTAGCAAGAGTTATAAACATTCGTAGCACCAAGCTGAGACCTTCTCCTTGACTCCAGCGAAGGGATTAGGAGAAAATTGAAAAAGAAATTACTTTCACAGTGTGACTCAATGTTATTTAATGTATGTCCCTGTATTCACTAAAATCACCTGCAGGAAAAACTAAACCATGGAACAAAAGTCTCTAAAACAAAACAGAAACCAGGCAGGGATGAAAGGTGTGTTACATAAAGCGAGAATTCTTGGGTGAACAACACCATCACTGGTGTGACACGGTATTATCCAAAGATGAGGACACCAATCTACCCCATCGCACAAGCTCTTAACAATGTGACAATGACAGGCCTCCCTCAAGAGGCAAGGAGCAGTCTGCATCCTCTCCCCTTGATTCTGAGTGGGCCTGAGATTATGGCGGAAGAGAACCCCATGACTTCCAAGGTAGTGTTTTAAAAGGTCATACACCCCAGGAGTAATGAACACACCTCACACCCAGATCTTGGCTTCTAATACCATTCTCCAGTAAAGAAACCAGGCTTCTTGAAAAAAAATGGCTGATTCGAGGACTGGGGCAGGAAATATACATGATGAGCCTGGAGCACATTGCAGCACCAGAAAGGAAGCAAACACACACACGCACACACACAAACACACACACACACACATACCACAGGTGCCAGCATGAAAGAGCTTCCAATGGCCCAAGCTAGAACAATTCAAACAACAAAATTCAAAGTCTTGGCTGGGCATGGTGGCTCACACCTGTAATCCCAGCACTTTGGGAAGCCAAGGCAAGCAGATCACTTGAGGTCAGGAGTTTGAGACCAGCCTGGCCAACATGGTGAAACCCCATCTCTACTAAAAAATATCAAAATTAGCCAGGCATGATGGTGCATGCCTGTAATTCTAGCCACTCGGGAGGCTGAGACACAAGAATCACTTGAACCCAGGAGGTGGAGGTGACAATGAGCTGAGATCACCTCGCTGCACCCAGCCTGGGCAACAGAGTGACACACTATCTCAGAACAAAAAAAGTTGTCTTGGATTATAACCCAGAGTGTAAAATAAATAACCATGAGTCAATACTGGCATTAATAAATGATTACATAAATAAATAAATGGAAAAGAGAATAGAGAAATCTTCTTCCATGCTGAATAATTCCAAATAATTTTTTAGATACGCATCCTCCACCCCGAGGAGACTGAAATTAACATCAGTCAGATGCAGTGGCGCACACCTGTAACCTCAGCACATGGGGAGGCAGAGGCAGGAGGAACACTTGAGCCCAGGAGTTGGGAGGCCAGCCTGGACAACATAGTGAGATCCTGTCTCTACTAAAAAAAAAAAAAAAAATTTATGGTAGCTAAATGATGAGAACACATGGATACACTGAGGGAAATAACACACACTGGAGCTTGTGGGAGGGTGGAAAGGTAGGAGGGAGAGGATCAGAAAAAATAACTAATGAGTACTAAGCTTAATACCTGGGTGATGAAATAATCTATACAACAAATCGCCATGACACATGTTTACCTGCATAACAAACCTGCATATGCTGTATGTAACTTACTCCTGAACTTAAAAGTTAAAAAGAATTTAATTAAAAATAAAATAATTTTTAAAAGACTACCATCAACAGTGGTAAGTCATGTTGATAGGCTGATAGTACGTACCATTTTGTTTTGTTTTGTTTTGTTTTGTTTTTGAGATGGAGTCTTGCCCTGTTGCCCAGGCTGGAGTGCAGTGGTGTGACCTTGGCTCACTGTAACCTTTGCCTTCCGACTTCAAGTGATTCTCCTGCCTCAGCCTCCTGAGTAGCTGGGATTACAGGTGTGAGCCACCATGTCTGGCTAATTTTTTGTATTTTTAGTAAAGATGGGGTTTTCATGTTGGCCAGGCTGGTCTTGAACTCCTGACCTCAACTGATCCACTCTCCTTGGCCTCTCAAAGTGCTGGGATTATAGGCAAGAGCCAGTGCACCCAGCCAGATAGTATGTACCCTTGATATAATGTGATGAGAAGGGTACTTCACTCCAAAACCCATAACCCCAGCCTAATCATTAGGAGAACATCAGAAAAACCCAGCTGAAGGACATGCTACAAAATACCTGCCTAGTACTCAAGACTTCAAGGTCATGAAAACCAGGGAAAGTCTGAGAAACTATCACCGCCAAGAGAAGCCTGAGACATGACCACCGAGGTAACGTGGTGTTCTGGATGGGATCCCGAAGGAGAAAAAGGGCATGAGATAAAAACTAAGGAAATCTGAAGAAAGTATGAGCTTTAGTTATTAAAAAAAATATATATATATATGGGCCGGGCGCGGTGGCTCACACCTGTAATTCCAGCACTTTGGGAGGCCGAGGTGGGCAGATCAGGCTGAGACCAAGAGATCGAGACCATCCTGGCCAACACCATGAAATCCTGTCTCTACTAAAAAAAACAAAAACATTAGCTGGGTGTGGTGGTACGCACCTGTGGTCCCAGCTACTCAGGAGGCTGAGGCAGAAGAATCGTTTGAACCCAGGAGGCGGAGGTTTGTAGAGAGCCGAGATTGTGCCACTGCACTCCAGCCTGGCAGAGAGAAGACTCTGTCTCAAAAAAAAAAGATCAATATGGGTTCATTAATGGTGTAAGATGCCCTATACTATGTAAGATAGTAATCATAAGGAAAACTGGGTGCAGGATATATGGAAAATTTCTCTACTAGCTTTGCAATTTTTCTGTCAATCTAAATGTATTCTAAAATTAATTTTTTAATTTAAAAACTGTCATACAGCCTCTACCTGGTACCTTCGTTCTTGGGGCACACACCTTGGGCACCCCGAACTGACCTGTGGAAGTCGAGCTCCCTGAAGCCATCCTGTTGCACAGACCATGCAGAGAGAACATATTAGAAACAGAGACACCCAGCTGGGCGTGGTGGCTCACACCGGTAATCTCAACACTTTGGGAGGCTGGGGTGGGAGGATCGCTTGAGCTCAGGAGTTGGAGGCCAGCCTGGGCAACACAGCAAGACCTTGTCTTTACAAAAAAAAAAAAAATTAATTAATTAGCTGGGCATGGTGGCTCATGCCCGTAATCCCAGCTACTTGGGAGGCTGAGGCAGGAGGATTGCTTGAGACCAGGAGTTTGAGACCAGCCTGGGCAACATGGCGAGACACCATTTCTACAAAATTGAAAAAGAAAACTAGCTGGGTGTGGTGGCGTGGGCTGTGGTCCCAGTTACTCAGGAGGCTAAGGTGAGAGGATCGTTTGAGCCCAGAGGGTCAAGGCTGCAGTAAGCCTTGTTCACACCACTGCACTCCATCCTGGGCAACAGAGTGATACCCTGTTTCAAAAAGAAAAGAAACAAACACACAAGGGTCCCCTTCTGTTCCAGCCCCCAGATGTTTGAGTCTTCCCAGCCCAGGTGCCAGACACGCATGTGAGGGGGCCTTTCAGATAACTTCAGCCCCTGGGCTTCCAGCTCCCCAGCTGACACCAGGTGGAACACAGTCGAGCCGTCTCCACCAATCCCTGCTCACATTACAGATTATTGCTCAAAATAAATGTTGTTTTAAGCCACCAAATTTTGTGGTGGTTTGTGACTCAGCATTAGATAAATGGGTGACTGGTCTGCAAAACCACCTTCGGTGGCTGATGTGTCTTCCGTACTGACTTCCACTAGGTGCTGGGCACTGGCCACACAGAGATTCATAGGATAGGGTCCCTACCCTTAAAGAACGCACATTCAAGTAGAAGAAATCAAGTGCCATGAGAGTGATGGCAAACAACGACAATACTGGATTAAAAGGATCAATGCAGTACTTTAGAGACAGAAATGAGTGGATGGCCCTAGGGGATTCTGGGGATACTGATGGTAGTGGTGGCCTGTTTGGCGCAGCCGCTGTGAAGACTCCGGCTGCAGTAGGGGAGATGCAGCCAGGACTGCACACACCACGGGGCTAGTGGGAGCCAGGAACAGGGAGGAGCCCTGCCCCATTCTGAGTTGCTCGGCTGGGAGCCCCATGCTCTTCTGGCACAGCTACAGCCGCCCCACCATGGCTCCAGACAAGGGCACATCCCTGAGCTCTCAGGGGCCAGGGAAGACCCCCCACCCCGCAATGACAGGCTCAGAAGTGCCTGCTCCCACTGTCTGGCTTCTCCCTGCTCCCAGCACTCCGATTTCAGAGCAAAGTTGTGGCCAAGCCTGGGCACTGTCACAACCCAGCCAGGTGTGCAAACACTTGAGGACATGCTAGCTTCTAGCCATCTCGGCCCCCTCCAGACTTTGGTCACTGACAAACATGGGAGGGAGGCCAAGGGGGAGCTGAGGGCAGATCGGCACAGGCCTACAGGCACCTCTTGTTATAAACAGCCTGGGCACTGTGGATGACATGTATTAAACAGATAGCAGCAGGAGGCAAACAGGCTCCTGGGTGGAAAGGCATGGGTCCCCAGAAAGCCCCACCTTCAAGCCATGGATAGGCCAGCCTGAAGCCTGGGGGCTGGGCTGTCAGATCCAGGTGGAGTCTGTGGCCCAGAGTGAGAGCCTACGGTGCTTTTTCTGGGCCCATCCATGGCCGCCCATGGACCAGTCAGCACACACTTCCTCCCTTCTGAAGCACATAAAAATCCCAGTTTCAGTCAGACTTGCAGAGATGTCAGGACAACTTGCCTGCAGATAGGAGCTACCCAATTCAGGTCTCCTGAGAGCTTTACTGTTGCTCAATAGAGCACCTCTTCACCTTGCTAACCCTCCAGTTGGCCATGTACCTCATTCCTCATGGACATGGGACAAGAACTCAGGACCCACCAAACGGCAGGACTGAAAGAGCTGTAATACAAACAGGGCTGAAACGTGTCCCCATGCTCACCATATTGTGGGAGACAAGAAGGAGAGAAGAGCTGTGGCCCTTCAGATAGCCCAGACCCAGGGGCTCCCCAAGCCAGGGCTATCACACCCTCTTTGGGGCTCTGTGGTTTCTGGTATCTCCAACCTCTTGGGCACCACTGAGTTTCCCCTTGCCTAGATGAAGGTGCCCACAGTGGAAACCACTTGCAATGCATCAGATCCAGCTGTAGGCTTGCACAGAGCCAGTGCCTGTGCCAGCTCCTGGAACTGCCCAATCTGCCACAACAGCTGGTGTGCCTAGCTGTGCACAGTGGCTGGACACCATACTCACTTGTTCACGCCTCCCTGGCTGCTCTGTGCTTGGCTCACCCTTGGCAAGTGTGGGTTCTGGGAAAGGAGCACTACCGAAGTGCAGCCTGCCAGGCTGAGTCAGCAGAACAAGCCCAGTGGGCCTGAGCAAAACTTGGGCAAAGGTGCTGCCAGCCACAGAGGTTTCTGACTAGAAAAGCAATACCCAGAGAATCTTGTGACAATATGAGAATAGAGGAGAGAGAATAAGCACTTACTGAGCACCTCCTATGTTACACTGTTCTTTGTTTTTTTCCCAGACAGGATCTCACTTTGTCACCCAAGCTGGAGTGTGGTGGCACCATCGCAGCTCACTGCAGCCTCACACCCCTGGGCTCAGGCGATCACTTCCATCTCAACCTCCTGAGTGGCTGGAACTACAGGTACAAACCACTGTGCTTGGCTAATTTTTAAAATTTTTGTAGAGAGGGAGTCTCACTCCAGGCTGGTCTCGAATTCCTGAGCTCAGGCAATCCTGCTTTACCCCTCCGCAAAGTGCTGGAGCTATAGGCATAACCCACTATGCCCGGCCCATGTTGTTCTAAATGTGTTAAAACAGTTATGTGAATTAATCCTTCCAATTAACCCTATGATGTCATGATTATAACTATTTCAGAGATGAGGAAACTGAGGCACAGAGAAGTAAAGAGATTGCTCAGGGCCTGCCAAGGGGCAGAGATGGGATTTGAAAGGTGTGCTCTAAGCAGAACACACCTTTCCCATCTATAAAGTGAGGGTATCAGAGAAGATGCACTCTGCGGCCCTTCCTGCCTTCAAGGCTTGAGTTCAGCACATGTGTGGGTTTTCCCCACCTCGCATCTGTTCTCCTGCTCCTGGTAACACCCCCTCAATTTTTGTAGGTGATACTGCCCAACTTCCACTCTCACTTAAGGAAGGACACCTACTTGGCCTCGGCCAGTCATACAACCACCATGCACAGGGATTGGCTCAGGCACCTGCATGGGAATGCCAAGCAGTGGCAGTCTTCTCAGGGACTTTTGCTAGAATTCTAGGGAGAGAGCCACTCTGTTTCCTCTGGAGTTGCTAAGCAAACATAAGGCTGCCAAGGGCCACCATAAAAAAGAGTCTTCCTAGGAATAAAGTCGGTTCAGAGGAAAGGAGAGGCCACGAGATGACACAAGAGTGGCCAACATGTGACAACATCTTTGGCACCTAGATTCGGCCGTGCTTGAAGCCAGAACAATCCTGAGATTTTCTGTCATTTGATCCAATCTGTCTACTTTCTTGCTTAGAATAACTTGAGCTGGATTTCTGTAATTTAAAACCCAATGTCTAACACAATTAAACGATGATGGTATGTATCAGGGTTTATGTTTTTGTTTGTATTCTCCCTAGTCATGGTCACCTCCCGGAAGGCCTAACGAGCACCTGTTGATCTTTGTGGCTTCACTCCATCCGCAGCAGTCACTACCAGTACCTGGCACAGAGGAGGGCTTGGGAAAATATTTGTGGAATTACACTGATAGGCATCATTCATCCCTTTAACCCCAGCTTCTCTGGTTCCATTGCTAGACATAAGCCCTCTGAAGACCTGAGGAGACTTAGCATTGATCTGATTCCTATAGAACATGAGGCTCTAAGCAATCAACAGTCCAAGGAATCTGCAGTGTTATCAATCAGCCAAGCCCAGATATAGGGCATGGATGTGACATCATGGCAATGTAATGGTTAAGAGCACAGCCATTTTGTTTTGAGACAGAATCTCACTCTGTCACCCAGGCTGGAGTGCAATGGCACAATCTTGGCTCACTGCGACCTCCGTCTCCCAGCTTCAAGCAATTCTCCTGCCTCAGCCTCCCGAGTAGCTAGAATTGCAGGTGTGCAACACAACACCCAGCTAATTTTTGTATTTTTAGTAGAGCTGGGGTTTTGTCATGTTGGCCAGGCTGATCTTGAACTCCTGACCTCAGGTGATCCACCCACCTTGGTCTCCCAAAGTGTGAGCACAGGCTTTTAAATCAGACATATTTGCTGGATGTGATGGCTCACATCAGTAATCCCAACAGTTCAGGAGGCCAAGGCAGGAGGATCACTTGATCCCAGGAGTTTAAGATGAGCTGGGCAACATAGTGAGACCCCTATCTCTACTAAAAATAAAAAATGAGCCAGGCATGCTGGTATGTGCACATGGTCCCAGCAACTCTGGAGGCTGTGGCAGGAGGATTACTTGAGCCCGGAAGTTGAAGGCTGCAATGAACCTTAATCATTCATGCCACTGTATTCCAGCTCCAAGTGAAAAAGTAAAAAAAAAAAAAAAAAAAAAAAAGCCAGGTACAGTGGCTCACATCTGTAATTCCAGCACTCTGGGAGGCCAAGGTGGGTGGATCACTTGAGGCCAGGAGTGATCCACTGACTGACTAGCTCAGTGAAACCCCATCTCTACTAAAAATTCTCTACTAAGACCAGCCTGACTAACATGGTGAAACCCTATCTCTACTAAAAATATGAAAATTAGCCAGGTGTGGTGGCAGGCACCGGTCATCCCAGCTACTTGGGAGGCTGAGGCAGGAGAATCGCTTGAACCCACCAGGCAAAGGCTGACGTGGCCAAGATCATGCCATGGCACTCCAGCCTGGGTGCCAGAGCAAGACTCTGTCTAAAAAATAAAGCAGGGCGGGAAGAGAAGAAAAGAAACCAGACGTAGCTGGGGCCATATCTTTTCCCACATCTTATCAGTGGTGTGACCTTGGGCAGGTTACTTACTGCCTGGGCTTCAGTGTCCTCCTCTTTGAAATGGGGCTATTACTACCAGTGTCTCCAGTGCCCTGCCAAGATAAAATGAGACGTTGCATTAATACATAAAGCACCCGACTCATGGTCAACACTCAAGAAATGGTGACTCTTTCTAGTGTTAAGATCATAATGATGATGATAATTATCAAGGTCCCTTCACTCGTTGTGGAAAATCAGCCAAGTTGTTTGCCTCCATACACCCCTCCCATGATCAGGACCTCTCCTGGTGGACACTGGCTAGGACAGGACATATCACTCCACTCTTCCCTCTGCTGCAGCCTCCATGAGATGAACACACCAAGGCTGGATGCAGCTCTCAGAAATCTCCTGCATGGGGTCAGCAGGACAAAGAGGCAGCTGGGTGGCACACAATGTCTTTCCAGTAGTGTGCAACGTGGAGGGCACGAGAATGCTCTAGAATGCTGAGGACCAGGAACGGTGGCTCATACCTATAATCCGAGCACCTGGGAGGCTGAGGTGGGAAGATCACTTGAACCAAGGGGTTAGAAGCTGCAGTGAGCTATGATTGCACCACTGCATTCCAGCCTGGGTGACAGAGAAAGACCCTATCTCTAAAATAGGTAAATAAACACAATATTGAGGAGCAGAGGCCAGACCGTTCCCTCTTGCTTTACGTTGCTACAAAAGAATACCTAAGACTGGGTGTGGAGGCCAAAGCAACTCCATCTTGGATGCTAATCTACCAGGAAGGTCTCTAAGATTTCCAGTTTATCTATTATTGCTCGTGTAAGAGCAGGTACTTACTGTAAATCCTGCCCTTGGGTCATATGAACCTGATGTTCATCATACTTCAGTTGTCCTGCCCATCCCTTCTGAACCACCTCTTCCCCACGGTAATAAGCCCTGGGTCTAGGGGGTAGCCACGTGGGGATCCACCATCTTGACCCGCCACTGCCCAAGATACAGACACGGCTTCTGTTCGTAAGTCCCTATTAAATGTTTCTTTCTAAGAAACTGGATTTGTCAGCCTCTTTCTTAGTCCTCTCAGCTTCCTCAGACTTTGGGGTAGGTTTGCATAGACCTGTCTACCACCAACATCGGGTAATGTATAAGGAAAAGAGATTTCATTAGCTCATGGTTCTGTAGGCTGGGAAGTTCAAGGGCATGGCCCTGGATTCTGGTGGGAGATTTCAGGCAGCAACACAACACAGAAGAGAAGGTCAAAGGGGAAGGAGATACATGGAAAAGGGAGAAAACATGAAGAGTATCTTTGCTTTAAAACAATCCACTCTTGCAAGAACTAATCCATTCCCAAGATAACTAATCCAGTCTTGCCAGAGCAAGAACTCACCACCATGAGAACAGTACCAAGCCATTCATGAGGGATCTGCTCCCATAATCCAAATATCTCGCATTAGGCCCCCTCCCAACACAGCCACATTGGGGATGAAATTTCAACATGAGCTCTGGGGACAAACAAACCACATCCAAACAGTAGCACTCCTCAAGACAGCCCAGAGCTTTAAGCTTCCTCCCTATATTAGTCTGTTCTCGTGCTGCTAATAAAGATACACCCAAGACTGGGTAATTTACAAAGGAAAGAGGTTTAATTGTCTCACATGGCTGGGGAGGCCTCACGATCATGGCAGAAGGTGAATGAGGAGCAAAGTCACATCTTACATGGCAGCAGGCAAAAGAGCTTGTGGGGGGGGGGAACTCCCATTTATAAAACCATCAGATCTCGTGAGACTTATTTACCACCATGAAAACAGTATGGGGAAAACCACTGATGATTCAGTGATCTCCACCTGGCCCCACCCTTGACATGTGGAAATTATTACTGAGATTTGGTGGTGGGGACCCAGCCAAACCATGTCAGTCCCCTAATCTCATCCTTTCCCCCTCCAGTCCTTTCCAAGTTTTCAGAAGAATCCTGGTGGGCAATGGAGATACAAAAAGCACTGGGATAGGCCTGGAGGCTGCCAGACCTGGGTCTGCTGCTTACTGCCTATGGGGCAGTTTGCAGGGGTGTCCAGCTAGCCTATCTGCCTCCAGCCAACTCCCTGGCCTCCTGCCATGTGCCTGCTCTCAAGCCATCTTCCCCTTTGCAATACTTGCCTGCCAACCCCTAATATTATTTCTTACTTCTCTTTATCCATTCTCAGGGGCATTTTTTCACATTTTGACATCTGAAACTGGAATGCACCTTGAAGACAATGTTGTCATGTCATCGCTATGGACTAGGTGGCCATGGTAATACAGTCGTAATTACATGGTAATACACCTGAACACATGCAAACTCAGTTGAAATTCCTCACAGAATGACTGGACAACAGCTACCAGTCAACACCCCCTTGGCATGTAAGAAAGTGCTTCCCAGTCACCCCTTGTACCACCAGCAGGAGTACCCAGACTTTGGGGAGTTTGCTCTAAATCACTGCCACAGTCTCTCCTGCCTCTGCCCCAGCAGGCCAGCTATTTTCTCTGCCTGGAGCATTCTCCTCTCCACGGCGAGGTATCTGAATTACCCCCTTTCCAGTTATTTGTTGCTGTGCTGTCTTAAAACTTAGCAGGATACAATAACCATTATACCATGCTTGCAGACTCAAGAGGGCTGGAAAATGGCACAGAGGAGACAGCCTGTCTCTGCTCTCTGATGTCTAGGGCCCAGCTGGGAAGACACACATGGCTCAGGGCTAGAACCTTCCAAAGGTTCATTGGTGCAAGTGCCGGCTCCTGGGCTGGGATTACTCCTTACGTGGGCGCGCCAGGCTCCTGAGTGCTTCAGCAAACAAAACAGAAGCCACACTGCTATCTATGACCCAGCCTCAGAAGTCCCATAATGTCACCTCTGCCATACGCCACTCCAGCCTGCCACTCAAAGGGAGGAGTGTCAAAGCATCTGTGGTCATTTTTTAAACTGCCACACCCTTCACCTTTGATCTGAACCTGTGACATGTGCCTGTGGTTCTCCACGTCATCTAACATGACACACTCCTCACAATTATTGCCATTTATTATTTGGTTTTTTTTAGAGTCAGGGTCTTGCTCTGTTGCCCCAGCTGGAGTGCACTGGCAGGATCATAGCTCACTGCTCACTGTAGCCTCCCTTGAATTCCTAAGCTCAAGCAATCCTCCCACCTCAGCCTCCCGAGTAGCTAGGACTACAGGCATGTGCCACCATGTCCAGCTAATTTTTTTATTGTTTGGTTTTTTTTTGTTCGTTTGAGAAGGAGTCTCACTTACTCTGTTTCCCAGGCTGGAGTGCAGTGGCACAGTCTCAGCTCACCGCAACCTCTGCATCCCAGGTTCAAGCAATTCTCCCATCTCAGCCTCCTGAGTAGCTTGGATTATAAGTACCTGCCACCATGCCTGGGTAATTTTGTTTTTTAGACAGAGTTTCACTCTTGCTGCCCAGGCTGGAGTATAATGGCACAATCTTGGCTCACCACAACCTCTTCCTCCCGTGTTCAAGAGATTCTCCTGCCTCAACCTCCCAAGTAGCTGGGATTACAGACATGCACCACTACACCCAGCTAATTTTATATTTTTAGTAGAGACGAGGTTTCTCCATGTTGGCCGGGCTGGTCTAGAACTCCCGACCTCAGGTGATCCGCCCACCTCGGCCTCCCAAAGTGCTCGTATTACAGGAGTGAGCCACCACACCTGGCCCTCTATGCTCTTTCTTTAAATGCCCAGCACACCTGCTGTTCCCTGTGCCTGGAACTCTCTTCCCACACATGGTCCCACATGACTTACTCCCTCACCTCCTTCAGGTTGCAGCTCAGGTGTCATCTTATCAGAGAGGGTCTGGGCATTCCATGCAAACCAGTAGCCCCCACTCCACACGCATATGGCACCACTGTCCTCCCTCCCCCACTTCAGTCATAATACATATAACACTGCATATAATTTTCTAATTTCCTGTTTCCCACCACTAGAATGCGGGCAGGGATTTGCCTATGTGTTCACTGCAAAAATTGCACCAAAACTTGACATCATCCTTCACCCATACCCACGCCTTTTGAAATGTGACTTAAAGCCTCTCCTATGAAGTAATAGATTCTCGGTCAGTGCAGTGACTCATTCCTGTAATCCCAGCACTTTGGGAGGCTGAGGCAGGAGGACCACTTGAAGCCAGGAGTTCAAGGCCAGCCTGGGTGACATAGTGAGACACCCCCACCCCCACCAGACTTCTATCAAAAATTAAAGTTAAAAACTAGCCAGGCATGGTGGTGTACATCTGTAGTCTCTGCTACTCAGAAGACTAGGCTGAGAGGATCACTTGAGCCCAGGACACTGAGGCTGCGGTGAGCTATGATCACACCAATCACACCACTATACTCCAGCCTGGGCAACAGAATGAGACCCTGACTCTAAAAAACAAAAGAGAAGAAAAAAGATAGTGAATTTTCATTCCTTACCTTTGGAATCTGACTAGTTTTGTGACTTTGGTCAATGGAACGCCACTGGATTCAGCCCACTGAAGTGACTTCTGCCGTTTATGAGTTAAGAGGCTTGCAGCTCCTTGTCCCCCTCTTGGAATCCACTGTCCTGTTAACAAGCGCAGGCTAGCCTGCTGGCTGGTAGCTGACTACTACTCTAGCAGTCTCATTGCCCTAGCCAACAACTAGCTGATGCCGGACACTGGAATGAGGCTACCCTCACATGAGCAAGCCCCACCAAGATCAACAGAGCCTGACCCAGAGGAGCAAACTTCCCAGTGGATCCACAGACTTTTGTTTTAAACTGTTGAATTCTGGAATGGTTTGCTACGTCGCATTATTTGTGGTAACAGACAACTGATACAAGCACTTAGCCCAATGCCTGGTATGAAATATATGCTCAATAAATATTTACAGCACAAATGATTCAATAAACAAGAAAAAGAAACATGCACCTTATAGGTCATTTTTTTTATTTTTTTGAGACAAGGTCTCACTCTTGCCGAGGCTGGAATGCAGTACAGCGGTGTGATCACGGCTCCCTACGGCTGCAACCTCCCAGGCTCAAACAATTCTCCCACCCCAGCCACCTAAGAAGCTGGAACTACAGGCATGCACTGCCGCAC